CCCTGCCTGCTGCCACCCCGGCTGCACCCTCCGTGTCCTGCTGGGGGAAGGACGAGTCCCCGGGGCAGGGGGAAGGGTGAGAAAAAGTGGGCAGATGGCAAAAGCCGTGTGGTTTATGCTTTCCCTTTCTGCTTTGCCCAGGAGAGGCGTGAGGGCTCGCCGGCAGCATGCCGCTGGTGAAGAGGAACATCGAGCCCCGGCACCTCTGCCGGGGAGCCCTTCCCGAGGGGGTGACGAGTGAGCTGGAGTGTGTCACCAACAGCACGCTGGCTGCCATCATCAAGCAGCTGGGCAGCCTCAGTAAGTCACAGGCAGCCACGTGGGGACAGTTTGAAGACCTGTTTTCCTCCCACAGCTGGTCCGTGCAGTAGGGGACAAAAAGGCTTCGCCAGCCCCTGCGCTTCTCCACTTGGCCAGAAATAGGAAGGTTGAGTGAAGATTAAACAGCCTCAACCTGTTCTTTTTAATCTTGGAGCTTGATGTGAAGGAGAGGTCTCTATAAAAGGTCTAAATCCTCAGCTGTCTTCCTTCTCTGGGACTGATTTCTGCAGAAAAGGGGAGGATGAGAGCATTGCACACGTCAGTGTGAAGGTTTAATAGGGGCAGCCTATTTCACTGATGGATATTGACTTAAAATAGAGAGAGGAGCTCAGGTTCTTCAGGGCTCCCTCTTCCCCCCCCACCCCGAACTAGATTCTTCTCTAAAATACTCCCTGAAAAAAAAATAACCCCTGTATTTAGGGAGCTGCTGGAAGCCTGGTGGCTCCATGAGCAGCACCCATGGGTGCTCAGGCCGTGGCTGACCTTGTCCAGGGGAAAAAGAATCAAATGAAGAGAGCCGAGCTGGGTGATGGGCTGAGCAGATATCAAAAGAGCTTTGATCTCCAGTGCTGTTTGATAGGTGGTTTTGGAGGAAACCCCGAGGAGCTGGGATGTTGGGTTTGGGGGCTGGGCTGGGCGCTGTAGCCTGCAGGTGTCAGCAATGCTCTGCTCAGCCCTGGGATCTGCCATCTGCCTGGCAGGGCACCAAGCTCAGCTCCCAAAAAAAAATGAGAAGGCTGGGGAGAGCCCCGTAGGGGCAGCTGGGCCATGGGGTGACCTGGGAGGGGGCTGGCTGCCTGCCCCCCTTGCCTGTGACGGGCACGTGTTGTCCCCTGCCAGGCAGACACGCCGAGGACATCTTTGGTGAGCTGTTCAACGAAGCCAACAGTTTCTACATGAGGATGAACTCGCTGCAGGAGAGGGTGGACCTGCTGGTCATCAAGGTGACGCAGCTGGACTCCACCGTGGAGGAAGGTGAGGGGGCTGGGGCTGTTTTGGGGGGATGGCTGGGTAAAGGTGGCTGGGAGACACGCGCCGTAGGCTGGACCACAGGTCAGGGGCAGGCTGAGGTCACCCCTGCATCCCACCTTCTTCCTGCACCCCCAGTGTCACTGCAGGACATCAACATGAGGAAAGCCTTCAAGAGCTCCACGGTGCAGAACCAGCAAGTGGTGTCCCGCAACTCCATCCCCAACCCTGTGATGGAGATGTACCAGCGCTGCGACAAGCCCCCGCCGCTCAACATCCTCACCCCCTACAGGTACAGCTCCTGGGGGGCACTGAGGAGGTCCTGGGGGGGTCATTTCCAAGAGGAAGCCCGTTTGCTGCTTGGCCAAGGCTTTTTTTCTCTGCTTTGCTGTGCCACTGTCCCCGTTGCGTAGGGTGTTTGGGGTGAGTGACCACTGTGTTGGACACGTTCATGGTGGGGCAACAGCTTAGGACTGCGAGCTTCCTCTGCACAGGGAAAGGAGGGTCTTCTCCTGTGGCTGATAACCCCTTCTCCTCCCTTCCCATCCCCCAGGGATGACAAAAAGGACGGCCTCAAGTTCTATACCGACCCCTCCTACTTCTTCAACTTATGGAAGGAGAAAATGTTGCAGGCGACAGAAGATAAGAGGAAGGAGAAGCGCAGGCAGAAGGTAACGGGCAAGCAGGGGCTGGAGCTGGGGCTGGTCACCTTCCTGGTGCATCCCACGTGCTCCTCCAGGGACTGCTCACAGTCTGGAGGAGCTGGGTGGGAGAGGGAGCCACGGCTTGCGTGTCCCCCCAGGAGCAGCGGCTGGTGGAGGACTCCACCCGGGAGGTGAAGAAAGTGAGGAAAGCCCGAAACCGGCGCCTGGAGTGGAACATGATGGCGTATGACAAAGAGTTCCGACCCGATAACAGGTTCTCACCATCCCCCTATCACATGGCGTCATCGGAAGGATCACTGTCCCCAGATAATAGGCAGGTTTCACCTACTGCACGTTCAGCTCACCTGCTCTCCTTTGCTTTTCTCTTCTCCTCCGTCTTTGGGGGGCACGTGCTGCCTGCAGGAGGGTCGGGGTGATAAGCCTTAAAGCTGTAGTAGCTTCGTGGGCAGCTGGTGCTTCCCGGGGTCACATCCTGGGCCTCAGGAACAGCCTTGGTGTTGGGGTAAAGTCCGAGTGCTTTCCATTTAGCAGCTAAGGCAGGAGACTGGCTCAGCTCTGTTGACGTCCTCCTCCCCTCCGCTCTCTCTCTGCTTTCTTCTACGCCTGTATTTTTGCAGCCATTCTTTTGGCTTGTTGTCTCAACCCCA